ATATATTATTATATATATAGATATATATTATATATATATATATATATATAATATATATATATATATATATATATATAATATATATATATATATATATATATATATATATATATATATATATATATATATATATATATATATATATATACTAATATATAATATATATAATATATATATATATATATATATATATATATATATATATATATATATATATATATATATATATATATATATATATATATATATATATATATATATATATATATATATATATATATATATATATATATAATATATATATATATAATATATATAATATAATATATATAATATATGTAATATATATAATATATATAATATATATAATATATATAATATATATAATATATATAATATATATAATATATATAATATATATAATATATATAATATATATATATTATATAATATATATAATATATATAATAATATATAATATATGTAATATATATAATATATGTAATATATATAATATATGTAATATATATAATATATATAATATATATAATATATATAATATATATAATATATATAATATATATAATATATATAATATATATAATATATATATACATATATGTAATATTATAGTATAGAATATATCATATTATATTCTATCGTATATTATATAACCCATTCGCCCCGGATGTAGTTTTTGGTGAATTTTGTTACATACAGATGGCTCCACATGTACTCAACCGGCAAGGAGTCTATCAGTAGTCCCTAGTTACCGATCCTGATTTTCCCATTCATTGAATTGGCGGGAAAATTAATACCATTGCTATCAACACTGTTTTTATTGTTATTGATGTTATGATTATTAAATTGTAATTAGAATATTTTAGACAATGAAATGATACAGAAAACCCTTTCCTAAAGTGAAGGAAAAGGTTAAACAGGTGAAATAGGTAATTCTTGATAACTGGCTATTTGGCAATTAACCCATTGGTGCCGGGTATGACGTGCACGTACGTGCTATACCCACCGTGAGTACTTGTTTGATTGTTTTTACGCATAGATGGCAACACTTGTACTAAATCACCAATGAGCCAACTACGAGTACCGCCCGTCTCTCTTGTTTACCCGTTTCTTTGATTTACGAATTATTTTACGTTATCTTATTTTGCTGTTACTAATGTTAAAAAACATTATAAAAATTATAATGTTTATGATAGAAATAACACCATCGATTTTCATAGCACTAGTGAAAAATAAGTTTTTCCCGCCATTTCTAATCAGGCGCTAGCAAAGCCATCTATCGGCAGACATTTCACGAAAAACATAGAAAGTGGGCAAGCATTTCCCCCATTGTTTGTTCATTTTCCCCGGCAGCATTGGGTTAAGAACTTGTGGAGCCATCTATGTGTAAATACAATAAATAAACGTGTATCAAAGTGGGCATGGTATCTATTCTTGCCACGTGGGGCGAATGGGTTAACTTATATCACATACAGATAGTCCCCTACTTAAGAACATTCAACTTATGCACATTCCGTACATACGAACAAAATTTTTTAGATACTTAAGTCCAAAAAATTGTTTGAAAGATGCTAACAAACTTCAAATTTCCCGGGCGCGAATATAGTTCGCGAGTCTACCACACCGCGGCACCGCCGCACTCACTCAGCTGTGCACATGACTCGACTGACCTTCCCCATAAACATGAAAGCCTCTCTTCACTGTGTCCTTGTGTACTGACAATTTTGTGCCATAATTCGCTTTACCTGTGCATCAATCCATCAAAAATGTTGGGTGTGAAGAGAAAGATAAACGGTGAAGCCAGTGGAATTGCCAAGAAACGTCAGGCTTCATGGATCTTATCAATCGGTTCGCCAGCCAGTCACCACTATATATTTTCTTTTTGAATAAATTATGTTTCTACATTTAAAGTTGTATAAATCACCAAATAATATTAACCCTTTCACGACAGGTGACACCGCTATGCGTGAAAAGAAAGGGCACGAAAAGTACCATGCGGCTGTGGCTGTACGCCGCAGCAGCGAGCCAGTGATTGATCCTGATGTACAGAACTCGCGCCCTCAAGGTCAGCGCACTGCCATTGTTTGCCAGAGCGTAGAGGTTTTTTTTATTTGCCAGGCACCACTACAATATATATATTTTTTTTAATAAATTATGTTTCTACATTAAGGTTGTATGAATCACCATCAAACATTATTAAAAGTTACGTCGTACATATTGGGATTTATGTACAGGTATTCTTAATGTAAACAAAACTTTAAAACAATTGGGAAAAGAGGTAAAGGAGACCCGACTTTCGACATACGATCAAATCGACTTCCGAACAGCCTCTCAGTCCCCATTATGTCCATAAGTTGGGGACTTGCTGTATATATATATATGTATACATACACACACACACACAAACACACACATATATATGTACATATTACAATACATATGAAAAATATTATCATGAAAGAAGGGCATAAAAAAATAATGCATAGCAAAACAAGAACAAAAAATCCAGCAGCAACTTACAGAAAATAGTCCGATCAACTATGTAGGCATCTGACAACCCAACTTTCACTGGGTGCTGGTCATCTCCAATCGATGAAACAATGAGGGGAATTTCTTTGTAAATAAATACAATATTGCCAGTTTCATATAATGTTACCTGCAAAAAAAGAAAAAAAAGATTAAGATATAACATAATATATGTAATAATAAACTCCTGGTAATACAGTCATACAGTCCAATAAGAGTGAAGCATCTACTTTATCTACTTATCATATGTAACCCACATAAGCATATACACTGGCTTTCCTTTTATTTGTAAAATCTGATGGCTGTTTTGATTTATAACTAATAAAAGCTCACCTGGAAGGTGAAAGTACCAGCATCCTTATGGTCTTTCAACAGCACATTGTTCCACTGCACAGTAAACGCAGTTCCTACAGGAAACAATTTGATTTTTTGTTCATTATACATCAATAAATCTATATCATGAACATACACAGAAATAAAAGAAACACAGCTAAGACATTAAACATAAAGGTAAACACGAAAACACAAACATTCAACACAGATTTTTAAAGCACAAAAATATAAACAGATTCTTCACTTGGTGACTCATGCATGCACAAGCACATGCACACACACATTCTAACATAAACAAGTTAAAAATCAACGACACAGACAGATATGCTAATATGTATTACTAGCCTGCCTATATCTTATGCTAAATATTATGAAAACATTATATATTCAACTATATAATGCAGTAATATAAATTATCTTTATATAATACAGACAGCAATATCATCAGCAGAACATGTGAACTTGAGTGATTCTACAAGATTTAAAACAGAAAAACTCACCATTATCGGCATATTTGACATAGGCATTCTTGGACAAGGAAGTGTCAAAGTTGGCCATGAGAGGGGCAATATACTGTGTTGCTGCGAGCCACGTGTGAACAAAGTTACCAGTGAAAAGAAAACCTCCAGTGGCTATCGTGATATTCCGTAGCAAGTGGCCATAAAAAGGGAAGTCGAAGGTCAGAGTCACAGTCTGGAAATGAAAGATGTTAAAAAAATGTTTTTCTATAAGCCAGACCACAAACTGTGAAGGATTTACATGAATGGATTACCTACCAATAATCAGTAAGAAGGCTTTATGCAAATTACATCTGACATGCTCCTTTATTATGAAAGAAATTTAAAATATGTAGTAGTTTATTAATAATGTTCTTATTAGTCACATTAGAAACTTTACAAAACTGGGAAATTATGATGTAAAGCTGCCTTCACAATTCAAAATCAAATTTCAAAAAACAAAAACAAGGATTCTTACTCAAAACACTGAAAAACTTACTGCTGCTCTCCTATGTGAAGTTGAAAGCATCTCATTTGTAACAACATTCTCCGAGGCATTCAGGTCAACCCAGAAATGCCCCGCACTTTCTACGCCTGCATAGGTGGAGGACTGGTAATACCTGAAAGTGTAAACCTCAGTGAAACAAATGTACCAATCTAAGGATGTGACCTTTCAAGCCTTAGGAATAAAAAAGAATAGAAAATATATATCCATAAACTTTTAAGCTCTTATACCCTCTTACCTGTGGTGGTCAACGGTGGTATTTTTGGTGTTAAACCCGGTGACCGGAGAGACGCTGTTGTCCCCACTATCAGGGTCATTTTCCCTAAATGTGGTTTCCTCTGCCATGGCCTTATCTTGACTAGCCATGTCATCTGGATCTTCAGGGCTATCAGATTTTTCATTTGTTTTTTCTTCTGACGTATTTTTAGGCAACTGCTGAGGAGTTAACAGTATTCTCTTAGGGATGAGGTCAACATTTATAGCACTAATTAGAAAGCATGTGTATGTGTACGTGTGTGCAGAGAGAGAGAGAGAGAGAGAGAGAGAGAGAGAGAGAGAGAGAGAGAGAGAGAGAGAGAGAGAGAGAGAGAGAGAGAGAGAGAGAGAGAAAGGGGGAGAGGGAGAGGGAGAGGGAGAGGGAAAGGGAGGGAGGGAGAGAGAGAGAGAGAGAGAGAGAGAGAGAGAGAGAGAGAGAGAGAGAGAGAGAGAGAGAGAGAGAGAGAGAGAGAGAGAGAGAAAAAGGGGGAGAGGGAGAGGGAGAGGGAGAGGGAAAGGGAGGGAGGGGGAGAGAGAGAGAGAGAGAGAGAGAGAGAGAGAGAGAGAGAGAGAGAGAGAGAGAGAGAGAGAGAGAGAGAGAGAGAGAGAGAGAGAGAAAGGGGGAGAGGGAGAGGGAGAGGGAGAGGGAGAGGGAGAGGGAGAGGGAGAGGGAGAGAGAGAGAGAGAGAGAGAGAGAGAGAGAGAGAGAGAGAGAGAGAGAGAGAGAGAGAGAGAGAGGGAGGGAGAGAGAGACAGAGTGAAAGAGAGAGAGAGAGAGAGAGAGAGAGAGAGAGAGAGAGAGAGAGAGAGAGAGAGAGGAGAGAGAGAGAGAGAGAGAGAGAGAGAGAGAGAGAGACAGAGAG